ATACAGGGAACTCTGCCGAGTCATCACCAACACCAGCGGCCCATTCAGTTCCTGTCATCTCCACTCTGACCCGCAGCCATTTTTCACATCATGTGTTTATGATCTCTGCCTCTACACACCAGCTAATGACATGCTGTGCTCAGCAGTCTCTGCTTATGAGGAAACCTGCAACATTCTGGGTTTAAACATTACTGACTGGCGTTCTCCTTTGAACTGTGGTATGTTATCTTGGTTCAATGGATTGACAAAACCAGACTGTTTTGATTGGCCATATGCTCATGTTTTCTGAATGTCTCTGCCATTTCTTAATTGATTCAGCTGAGACAGACCCGTGTGAACAGCTGGACTGTACAGAGTACGAGTGGTGTGGAAAGAAAGATGGTGTTTACGGCTGCTTCTGCGATGAGCACCATCATAGACCCTACAGTGAGAACTACGGTAATAAAAACACCTTTCAGCAAAATTTAAACATGATTATACTTTTTTACATTGGTACTTTACTTCTGTTTTTTCCCCAAGTTTAAAACACAATCTTGATATTTACTGCATAAGTTGGTTACTAAACCTGTTGTGTTCCTGGTGTCCAGACTCGAGCATCCAATGTGCCAGCAGTTCAGGCACCATGTCAATATCTCGCTGTCAGCTGTTTGAAGCTGGCTTCCATCCCACTGCTCTCCACCTCCAAGATGCCTCCTGCAATGGGACTCTGCAGGACGGACGACTGATCTTCCACTTTGACAATGACAACCATCTGTGTGGGACTGCTCTGAGGGTAGAGTTTATATATTAACGTCCTCTATCAGAGCAAAAATATGTTGCTAAAATTGATTGACATGAGTTTATTTCACTGTTTAGAGCAATGGAACTCACTTCATGTACGAGAACACCATTCAGGGGAACGTGGATCCTCATGGAGGTCTAATCAGCCGTCAGAGGAACCTTCATCTGAAGTTCTGCTGCGTTTACCCTCTGGCTCAGGCACTGTCAATGGCTGTAGGCATCAACCCTGTGGAGAGGTGATGATAAAGATGTGTTTTTCAGTTCTACTTTTATATCTTAACTAGTTATTGATTATGTACACACTAATAAATTTAACAAATTGGAGTTGTTTATTCAGCCTATCTAATGCATAAATCTGGATGCTTACAATTGATGTTTGTTCTGCAGCTTGTTGATGAAGAAGCTTCCAATTGGGATTGGATCATATCGTATGAGAATGATCCCATACGAGGATGAAGACTTCCACTACCCACTTAGCACTAACAGAAACATAGAGATGGAAGTTAATGTAATGCTTTATATAGAAGTGAGAACAGAAGGAGTGGATCAGCACCAGTTTGCCACAGTTCTGGACTCTTGCTGGGCCACACCAATCAACCAAGCAAACTACCCTATTCGCTGGGATCTCATTATTTCACAGTAATTGAGAAAATCTTATTGTCTTTTATAACTCTAGATTGTTACTTTACTCTCTGCAGGCTGAAATTAATCCTGCATCTGTTTTGTTACTCAGGTGTCCTAATCCAGAAGATGGAACAGTAGAGGTGATCCAAAACGGTGTCTCCACTGTAGCGCGTTTCTCCTTCAAGATTTTCACCTTTAGTAACCACACAGAGATTTTCTTGCACTGCAATGTCCACTTGTGTCTCTTGAGAAACAACAACTGTGCAACTGTAGGTAGCATTTTGTGCTAAGTGCAGCTATATAGTGTACATGTTATCAAATTGTACGCATCCACGGGCCTTTAATGTTGCTGCTTTGGTTTGTTTCAGCACTGCTATCCGGGACACCATAACCGATTCCAGAGGGACATATCTTACCGTGATTCTGCAGCTCTAACGCTTGGACCACTAGTCCTTGGGGCCCAACAGAAGAATGGTAAAACAGTCTCAAACTCTCTTTGCTTTATAATGACAAAGATCATATTGCGACTGATTATTAAATATGCGTCTTTTTTACAGGTGCACTGATCCAAAGAAATGGTGCTTCAGGCTGTCTGACATCAACTGTTACCCTGATTTTCAGTTTACTGATAGCCAGAATTTTTGTGAATTGAGATCAAAAGAAAATCATACTTTAAGATCTAGTAGAATTTTATTACTTGATTGATTTTTGGTTGGGGCATTTTTTGGGTTTCTGGTATATACTCGTAATCAGGTAAAAACAGATGCATCTATTGATAAATGTAAATCAAACTCTCAGGTGTATTGGTTTACAAGGTAACAGCATTTATTGACTACAACAAATTTTGATTTGCTACATAACATTAGAATTGGTGTCCATAGAATTTTGCTTCACAACATCTGCAACACCATTGAGTTTCAGACCATTTGAGGGATTTATGGAATATTATGTCTTTTAGTTTGTTTTGGGGATTTTTTTTTGTGTCATTAGTTCCTGGTAGTATCATGGATATTAACTACGGTTGTGGATTTTAAGGCAGATATATAGAGAACTAATTAATTTTCCCAGGATTTTTTTTGAGTGTTGAAATGAACTAATAAGTATGATTTCGTCAATATCTTAATTCTGTTTAACAATGTTTTTGGATGTGGGTAGATGTATGTGGTTGAGAGATTAATAAATGTTCTAAAATGCATTCTGTTGTTTGTTTCCTCCTATTTCCTTTTTATAAAAGCTTGATAAAACTACTTAACAGAATAGAATAACAAACTAAATTAAGTGAACTTAACCCTAACTTTAGGGCAGCTAAAGTTAAGGTTTTCTACCACAACAGTCATCAAGAAATAAAATTTAGTATATTTTAAAGGCCAAGGTCTCAGGGATTGTGAGATTATTTTATCTATGACTGTCACTGGAAATATATTCCCTTTTTGTGATTATACAGTGATTCCATTTTCAAGAGATAAGTTGGACACTGGTTCTCGAGGATGAATGTTTTGTAACTGGATGATTTCAATGCCCAATAGTTTATGGGTTGGCCATCAACATTTTGTAAGGCCAGTAGTTATGAGCTAATTGTGTGCCAGGTATTTGGCAAGATCATAGGTTGGTTGAGTTGGCATATAATTACTACAGACTGGACTGGCAGTGAGGTGTTGAAATCAAAAGCGCAAATCGTTTTTAGATAGGTTATGCTTGTTTAAGGGTAATGCATTCAAAAAATGTACAAAAGCGTTATTTTGGTCTTTTAGGTAAATATATATCTCTATTGTGGCAATGGTTATTTTTTGCTAGAAGGTACTGGGAAGGAAGCTGTTCTTGACTCTCTTGAAGAGACAATGGGTACAATAATTGTTTCAAAATCTAGTTGAATTAGACAAGTTTATAGTAAGTTAGCCCTGCAATAGCAGCCTCCTTTTCTTTTACATCCTGAAGATATCAAGTGTGGCTTAAAGCTGAGCATGTTCCACTTTAATCTACGGTATTTCCTTTTGAGTGTATGTGCTCTAGCTTGAGTTGCTTCAGCTTTTTATTAATTTTTTTTGCAATTTGATACCAACTTTGGATCTGATGATAGATTGTCACTTTCTTGAAATAGCTGACTGAGTTTCAGTTGTTTGAGATCTTTTGTCCCATTTTAAGTCTGTAATAGGAAAAAAAAGTATTCAACTATGCAAAATAGGTTAATAAAGGAGATGAATGGGAATCACTCAGGTCGCACTTTATTTGTCTTTGTAAAGACGAGAACAGGAAAATCGTTAAAGCCCTCACAGCTTGATGTTCTGCCCTGTTCTTCTCTAGACAAGGTTTTAAAACTAAACTGAAGATAGCATAGAGCTTTGAAGGTCCCCACAAAAAGTTAATCGAAACAAGTTACAGACTGAAAACTGTCAAATGTATTAATAAACTGGAGTCTGGCCTTGAGGTCTAAATATTCCCTAATAGTACTAAATAACACCTCTAAATCAGATACAGATAGCTTTACAGGTATGCAACAGCCTTAGTGAAAACTTTTATAAAGAAAGAGTAAAAAAATAAAATAATCAATATTAGAAGAGATGTGACAAGAAATTGATTTTTTTCCAACTACAAATGATGCAGTCTATGTATAAGTTTCATTTTATCGAAGTGCCCATCTGCACTTTTCAATGCAATGAGGAATGTCATGACCTTGGCACTGATGTCTGATCTGATTTCTCATTTCACTCACCTGCTTATCTTCGCCCAGTTCTCATTACAAAAACTTTAGGAAACATTTAACCTCTGTACTTGCAAAATAAGGCTACTGTACCAAACATTAAAATTGATTTTCTCAGGTGTTGAAATGTTCATTTGCAGCTGTATAATACAAGTAAATAGTAAAAAAAAAAAAAAAAGTATGTCTCGCACAGCGGACATGTACTTACGATGACAATTTCAGACCTTTCCATTATTTTCAGTGGGAGAACTTGCAAAATAGCAGGGTGTTCAAACACTTAATTTCCTTATTGTAAGCCAAGCTATGGAGCTGTGCTGTGGCTGAAACTTTGCTGTGCTTCTTCTTTTATTTTTTTACTTCTGTCTTTTACATAACTAAGAGTGCTTTTAGATTCAGTAGATGTATATTTGGTGATTGAAGAAAAACAGACAATTACAGCAACACAATGAGACACAAGAGAATTGACTCAAACAAATTAATTTCAAAATCATAAAGTCCATAGTCCATGTCTAGTTCGCCATCTTTAGATCCAGATGAGGTTCTGATCCGAAATGGTCAGAAAAACCCATTAAGTTTTATCAAAAACAATTAAATGGAAATATTATACAAAGCGAAACAATTATTCAATTTAAGCATTCAATTTATGCATACTAAATGCAAATGAATTAATTATATTTCTAATAATTAGACAAACATTTCAATCAGGTTAAATGAACCATAATTCAAATAAAGTAAAACAAAAAAGTATCAGATTTCAACCTTAATCATTTTAAAGTTAAAGTGCACTTTCAAAATATCAATCAAGAAAAATAAAGCAAATTAATAGTCAAATACTCAAGCAGAGTGAGCGAAAGGAAAAAAATGAATACATATACATACTGCACAATATCAATTTAAGTGTATAGCTACACTGTTCAGATCAATCTTTCAAATACTGCTTTGGAATCAAGGTAAACTTGTCAAACATGCACAAAATTCAGCACGCAAGTTACCTTTTCAAAGAGAGTGGGGTGTACTTATCCACAATCAGCTCTGGCAGAATCCCAGCGATGGTCCAGGTAAACAATGCCATCCATCATCTGACACGCTTGTCCTGAGTGGGGTCACGAGGGGTGCTGGTGCCTATCTCCAGCAGTAAATGGGCAAGAGGCGGGGTACACCCTGGACAGGTCGCCAGTCATTCAAAGGGCAACACAAAGACACACAGGACAAACAACCATTCATGCACACACTCACACTTAAGGACAATTAAGAGAAGCAAATTAACCTAACAGTCATGTTTTTGGTCTGTGGGAGGAAGCCGGAGGACCCGGAGAGAACCCACACATGCTCAAGGAGAACATGCAAACATTATGCAGAAAGACCCCAGGCCAGGAATTGAACCCAGAACCTTCTTGCTGCGAGGCAGCAGTGCTACCCACTGCTCAGTGGCGCAGTGTTTAATTGGAATCTGAATGATTCCAATTAAACAACAATTTAATGAGCAATCGAGCAGAAATACCACAAGGAAAAATAATATTGTATCAAATAAACTCACTCAGCAGTCAAATCAATAGGGTTAAAGATTTCAGATGAATATGTGGAGAAGACACCAGCAGCAAGCCACAATCACAGTGTCTTGTCCTGTTCCGTTTAATGGCGGTTGGCAAAAAACTTTTCGGTGTGCATTACCACCACCTACTGGTGAGGAGCGTGAATCAGATAAAAGATACTTGTATTTATATATCTCTATATATCTCTATCTATAATATTACTTATATATATATTACTACTATAAATATACTAAATCCTCCTAATCATTCCTGTTAATATTAAATATTTAAATAAATATTGCTAACATTTGTTTTTACCTTTTCTGCAGAATAATAAAATTCGATTTTACTTTCTCCTTATTAAGGTCTCTAGCCAAATTCTTCCTTTCTTCTTCATACTTCTCACAATAAATCACTACATGTTCTACTGTTTGCTCAAATTCACATATGCCTGATATATGTTTCCCTTTTTAGAATAATGTATTATTTAATCTTGTATGCCCAAGTCTAAGTCTTGAAATAACTGTTTCCTCTCTTCTGCTTCCTTCTGCTATCCTCATTTCTTCGACTTTCCGTTGAATCCTATAAAACCATCTTCCTCTCCTTTCTTCTTCCCATTGTTTTTGACACATTTCCTTCATCCTTTGTTTAATGATACTCTTAATATCTGTCTTACTTAAGTTAATCATCATATTTTTTTTTTTTTGTGATACTTCCTTAGCAATCTTGTCTACAATTTTATTTCCTTTAATCCCTAGATGTATTGGCACCCAAATAAATATAACACTAAAACTACATAAATCAATCTGAATCTTATGCAAATTAGTTCATATATAAAACTTTAATTTGTACATAAATGGTTAAATATAGTTCTATAGTTGGTATGCATGTACAAATTTAAGGCAAAAATGAAGATGGTGTCATATATCAATGAAGATATATGACACCTTCTCATTAAAGCACCACTCTTTCATCTAGTAATGGACTTATGATTGCAAAGATGCATATTCGCATAGTTATTCAAAGTGCTTCATAACATCGGCACATTTTTTGGGCGTTGTTCTTCTAGTTGGAACACAGTTTTTGAACAGAGCAGAGCTGTGACTCTGTGGAACAAACTGCGTCATAACATCTTGACTGCTACTACGAAAGGTGCATTTAAAACACTTTTAAAAAATACTTTGTTGAAAGCCTTAATATATGAATATTTGTGTAATGTGAAATAATTTGAAATGTATAGTTGTTCTTATGATGTGATCATTTGATATGTTTTGTGTATCTGTATAATTTTAAAAGGACCCCAGGAAGAGTAGCTGTCAAATTACTGACAGCTAATGGGGATCCAAATAAATAAACAATAAACATAGTTTGAACATATTTTCTGCCTTAAATTACAGCAAAATACCCTCAGGTGAATTAGGCGTGACTGTTTCTTATCTGGAGGTTTCTAAAACCCTTTTGAAACATGAAATCTTGTTAATAAGACTGGCAGCTTGTGAGCATGTCCTTCTTATTTTGGCATTAACAAAATAAGAAGGTTTTTCCCCTAACTTTGATTGGGAACAGTCTGACTAAATCAGGCTAATAAAAATATTCCTAAATTTATGGGGGGTTAATTTTGTCAAAAAACAAAAAACACCATGCAACATAATCCCCATGGTAATATTAGTAATACTTCAGTCTGTGTAATGATTCTATGTAAAATCTATGTTTAAATTTCTGCAATTAGAGACAGGATTTATTAAAGTCTTTTTATGAAGTTCTTCGGCTTTTCGGGTGTTCCTAAATGATCAAAAGAACAGAGAAAATTTTAGTTTTGAAACCAGGTGTGTTGGTGTATGCTGCATACACTTCTGAAATTACATAAATACAGGAATAACTAGGTAATATTTTGTGGATTTCCCAAGAGGGACACTGAGCACTGAGCCCC